AGTGACAGTGGCTTTCTTCTAGTCCTCAGGCACCCCTCCTGATTGCCACGACCTTTCAAAGGTGATTCAGAGTGGCCTAACAATGATATTCGCCAGCTCCCTCAGCACTCATGGAAGCATCCCATTGGGGCCCATGGACTTGTGGGTGTCATCTTCGCCTAAATGATCTCTTAATCTGATCCTCCTCAACCAAGGGAAAGTCTTTCTTTCCCCAGACTTTCTCCCTGGTCTCTAGGGTCTGAGATTCCTGAGGGATGGCCTTAGCAGTAAAGACGGAAGCAAAGAAGGGATTCAGTTACTCTGCCTTCTCTGTATCCTTTGTCACTGTCTCAGAAGGATTAAGTACCAAACCAGTTTAAAGGCATCATTAAACAGTGCCCATCTTTCCTAAAATACACATAGCCATCCATGACAGCATTCCAGTCATGCGAGCTATCTCACCTGTCTCCAATTGCAATGAGATCATAGCCCTGCAACTGCACACGGATCTCCAATTCTTCCTGCTTATTCCTCATGCTGCATGCATTTGTGTATAGGCACTTCAGAGAAGTATTCAAGCAGGCCGATTTCCCAGGAGGGGTGCAAGAGGATTCTGCAAAAGTCTTGCCTTGTGGATACACTTCCTTAACTGCGTGCAATTACTGGAGGTATCCCCACTTGAGCCCTGTTCTGCTGACTGCATGGTCTCTATAACTCTCCCCTTCCCCCATCTTTCCCAGTTTAAAGCCCTCCTTAGCAGGTTGACCAGCCCGTTGGCTAAGTAAGATGCATGTGTCCCACTTAGTCAGGTGGATCCCATCTCTCTCCATCAGTTGTCAATCTTCAGATGGGGTCTCATGGTCATAGAAACTAAAACTCTGTTGCCAACACCAGTGGCGCATACAGTTGGTTACTTGGAGAATCTTTCTACTCCTCTTCCCATCCTTCTCCTTCACTTGCAGGAACAAGGAGAAAATGACCTGGACCCCAGACCCTTGACCACCATCCCCAGAGCTCTGAAATACCATTTGATACTTTCAAAGCTGTCCTTGGTATCATTGGTAACCACATAAAAAAGCAGCAGTAATAGTCAGATGGGTGGACAAGCCTCATCAGTCTTTCCATGACATCTCTGATTTGAGCCCCCAGCAGGCAACAAACGTCTCTAGACAAGATGCCAAGTCAGCAGATGGGTGCCTCCGTCCCCTGCAGCAGGGAGTCACCCACAACAATCACTCGCTGCTTCTTCTGGGTGTTCCTGCGTGGCAAAGGGTCTGTTGGCTCAGTTGCCTCCCTTGAAGCCACGCCCAGCTCCTCCTCAGCTTGGAGGGCACTGAATCTGTTCATCAACTGCAAGCTTTCAGGAGGAACGAGAACCTCTCTCTTCGTACAAGAAGTGACCAATTTCCAGCCTTCATGTACAGAATTATGGCTTACTGTTCCATATAGCACAGAGCCCACCTGCATCTCCACTGCAACGGGGGGTTGAGACTCTTGAAGGTGTAGGGTCTCTGAGAATATCCTGTCTCTTGCTCATCTTCTTGGATGCTACACAGCCTGTTTACTTCCTTCCATAACTCCTTGACCTGGTGACACAACTCATCAACAACAGCATACCTTCTGCAGAAGAGTTGACTGTCAGTGCCAGCCTCACAGAGAGGCCCCAGGTACTCCCTGCAGCCTGAGACCTGCAGGGCTGCATCCACTGCCAGGAGGTCTGTCTAGCTGGAAGCCTCTGACATGGCTTACCCAGTAACTCCAACAGCTCCTGGGGAACGTGCTCTGCAGCATGTCATAATCACACCTGAGGAAGCGTACGCTACTATGGCTGGAGACAAAGTCGCCTTCTTGCACCCTTCTGCGCAAACTGCTGCATCCGTTCACTGCCTCTGTTAGCTGCGCTCAGAGAAGAGAGACTTTCCCTCATTAATTAGCATGACATATACCAATCCTCTTTTAAAAGGTAAAGGAAAAACCAATTGTCTTCATATAAGATAATCTACATACTCCACAGTGACCCGTGTCTTGACCTTGTCTATAACCTATGGGCTTTGGCATCTCTCCTGAGAAATAAGACAGCGCACCTTGAATCCTTTCAGATGATCTCTGGCTTCCTGAATAACTTACCTGATCATTTGGTTATTATGCAAAACAGGCCTCTCTTACCACATTTATGAGTGTATGGCATCATGCTTTCCACAAAACTCAGGATCTACGATAGAGATGCTGGGTATTTATGCCAAAAAATAAGTCCTATATTGAGATTATGTCCCAATGCTCAGATGAAAGCATTTCAGCACATGTTTAGATGCCTGAATTTAGACACTGCAGGAGCACTGTGCTGTAAATGGTGGATAGAAGGCCTTAATCATAGAGTAAATGTAGTTAATTGTAAAGTAGACCTTTAATTGAAATAATCAGGCCTGCAGGTTTGCTTGTTCCTGGAAAGCATTTCCATTTGAGCACAAGCTGAATCTCTTGCAGAGCTCAGCTATAACCTACCAGACAATTTTGTCCTTTGAAATGGCTAGATGACTGAGCAATGCATTTCTCATTGCAGAAAGCATGCTTGGTCTGAGGTCAGTAAGCCTGATGTCAACCTGTTTAGGCTACCCTCCTGTCTCCAGGAAGACGTGAGAGAGAATCTAGGCTCAAAGTTCACCAATAACATCAGCATGTGGTATTTATGCCAGAAATGCCTTAACAATATTTCACTAAGGCCAAAGCCTTGCTCAATGGATGTATCAGAAAACTTCTGAAGCATTTATCAACATACTCATATACTTTGACATTTGAGGCCTCTAATTCCATGCAACTGTAAGTACAAGAATTTGTTCTACATAACTAGCTATCCTTACAATGTAAGGAACCAAGTGAGCTGTTCCCCTTGCATTTTAAGAGCTTTGTGCTTTTTGACAGTAGGATCGGTATTCTGGACTGGTGTGGTTAACACAAAGCACTTGGCCTTTCTTGTCAGTTTCTACTAATCAGTCAGTTTAAAAACACCTGTAATTAAATGCTGTTTTTGATGATGCGGGTCAAAACCAAGGACAACTAGAAGTGTGACACCCATTCTATGCAGGGCAGAGAGAGCAAAAAGGAAAAAAAAAAGAGTGAATACTGACAGAACATTTTTTAGTTTCAGTCTTTAGAATAGCTTATTAATTACAGTCCAAGGTAGCAAGAAAAGGATGCAGAACAAAGTGAGAGGATTAACTCTTGAGACAACATTGAGTTTCTACATAAACATTCCTTTAGAGAAAATTCTAAATATTTAAAATCACCTTTCTGGACCCCTGACTTCTTTCAAGTCTACCCACAGTAATTTCAGGTGGAGCAATGGAGAAAGCAATCATAGCAGGGGTCAGAGGAGAAGAGAATAAAGGATAATAGTGATTGTTAATACCCAGGGAACATCTCCCTGTGTTTCTCAGCAAATGTCACAAATGGTTCTACCATGGTAATGGAAAGCTGAGAACATTATTCTCTGGAACCCAGAGAACAGTTTGGTTATACCAGACTATTCTTATTACTTAAACTTCTGTGCCTTTTGCAGTCCGGGCTATGGAAAGTCTCTATAAATTCTTGATGTTTTGTTTTTTCATTATTTCATCTTAGAGTTGAGCTTAACTAGGACCAACTCAGTTGGTCCTTTTCTTCCCCTCAGAGCTGGGGA